GGAGAGGAAAACTCTCTTTTAACAGGAAGAAACCTCCAGAGAATCCTGGCTCAGTATAAGCAGCCATCCTCCACAACTCACTGGGGATCAAGACAGAGCAGACACACACACACACACACACACACACACACACACACACACACACACACACACACACACACACACACACACACACACACACACACACACACACACACACACACACACACACCAAGTAATGCTGTGATTTCTTAGTAAATATTCTATTTGGTGAGATCAACTTTATTGTATTTATCCTAGTGGATCTCTAATTAAATGGGTAAACTAACAGTAACATGTCCAAAGTCAAGGAAAGCAAAAAGTTATTATCAGGAGAGGGAGAATATTTAAGTGGTTAGCAGCAGTGTGCTAGACGATGGCCCCCTCCATGAGGCCACCACAGCTCAGCAGAACATCGTTGTAGCTTCTTCTGGGGAGAAAAACACTTAGAGAGAAAATAAAGTTAACAGCTGAAATTGCAGAAAGGAATAGTGTTAAAGAGCAGATAGTAGAAGAAAGCAGTAGAGTGTGGAAAGTGGTCAGTGTGTCCTCCAGCAGTCTAAGCCTATAGCAGCATAACTACAGAGATAACTCTGGATAATCTATCCTATTTAGATGGAGGCATATTGGAGGCAGGGCAAGGGAGAGCCGTCTTTACCGACTGTACACTCCACCTCCCTCTACTCCCCCACTTGTCCTGATTTATGCTTGGTTTATGCTTGACGCATTCACTTTCCGCGCGGTGATGCGGCTCGCGGATGGAACGCACTTCACAACTCGCAGCGTTTATGGTTTGTGCGGCTCCTCTCTGCGGTGAGCCAATATTCTCCCAAACTGTAGGGGGCAGCATGGAGCTCTACAGCATGCATCCAACACTACACCATAGTAGAAGTAGAAATTACTGTTTACAACATGGCATTTCAGCATTTTTAACAGCGTCCTCATCTTTTCCGACAGTGCGAGCTATTTCTCTCCAAGAATTATTAACAACATGTTGATCCCGGTGATCTCTGAGATCTGAATCATACAAATGTCTGTATTTACCAACCTCTGCCATACTAGTCCTTGCCGGTCCGCCATGTTTTTCCGCGTCCGTCCGTCCGTCCGCGTGGTTAGAAATTTTCCGAGGTGCACGTTGCGGAAATTCTGGGCCGTGCGGAGGTGCGGCGGAGAGGCGTGGTTGTTAAAATTATGCAAAATGACGCAACTTTTCCGCGCGGAGCCGTGCGGACCTCGCGGACGCGTCAAGCATAAACCAACCTTTAGGCTAACATCAGATTTTACCCATAGGCCCTATCAAATAAAAATGTTTTAAGCCTATTCTTAAATGTTGACAAAGTGTCTGCCTCACGGACTAAGGCTGGGAGCTGGTTCCACAGGAGAGAAGCCTGATAACTAAAAGATCTGCCTCCCATCCTAATTTTAGATATTCTGGGAACCACCAGTAGACCTGCAGTCTGAGAGCGAAGTGCTCGGTTAGGAACGTATGGAACAATCAGGTCACTGATGTATGATGGAGCTTGATTATTAAGAGCTTACAAGATGGAGAAACACCAAGCCCGTTCAAGGACTCAGCCAGAGTTTCAGCAGTTTTGGAACCACTGGAGGAGATAATGCAAAGAAGGATTCTCCAGAGAATCAAGAAAATTATGGACAATCCTGAGCATTCTCTTCACAAGACTGTCCGACAACGGAAGAGTGTCTTCAGTCAGAGGCTTCTTCAGTTTCGCTGCAACGCTGACCGCTACTGGAGATCCTTCCTGCCAACAGCCATTGTAATATACAATAACTCTTTGATGACTTTATTATTATTATTATTATTATTATTATTATTCTGAGCTACTACAGCAATCAATTCCCTCTGGGATTAATAAAGTATTTTTGAATTGAATTGAACTGAATTCTTCTTGATAGGCTCATAAACTGGGTGGAACTATGAGGCACAGTCCATAGTTGGTTCCAATTGTATCTTGAAAACAGGGGTTATGTTATTTCTATTGGGGATCACAAATCAAAGCTCATCACCATGACATGTGGGGTCCCCCAAGGCTCAATTCTTGGATCACTACTCTTCAATCTCTACGTGCTTCCCCTGGCTCAGGTCATAAACAATAACAATATTGCCTATCATTGTTATGCAGATGACACCCAGATCTACCTAGCTCTATCATCTGGTGATACCTATTCTAGTCCTCTAGACTCACTCTATCAGTGTTTGGAGCAATAATAACTGGATGCAGTCAAACTTTCTCCAGTTAACCAAAGACAAGACTGAAGTTATTGTCTTTGGAAATAAGAAGGGTAGGATGGAGGTACTTGGCTCCAGAGGAATAAAGACAAAGACCCAGGTTAGAAATCTTGGAGTGATAATTAATTCAGACCTGAGCTTCACTGGTCACATTAAAGCCTCTTTTTAGAGTATTTCTCTTATCCGATGACACCATCTAGTGGCTGACAAGCACATCACACGAATAGCTTCTCCTTCCGTTTTTTTAAGATGGCGACTTCACGTTTCTTGTTTATAAATGTGCTTCTGTAGCCGACAAACAGAGATAAACATGTTTTTTTGCAAGTATTATTCTCATGTCATGTTGCGTTCTCATATATTTATATTGTAGACTTATTTGTCCGTGAAAGTTAATCAACTCTGCATCAGCCGAGGTATTCCTTAAACTTGACTCAGGGGTCTCATGATCAGACAAGACCTAAAGAAACTCATTCATGCATTCATCTCCAGCAGGCTGGACTATTGCAATGGTCTTTTGTCAGTTCTTACCAGTAAACAACAGAATCAATTTCAAAGTACTTTTACTAGTTTATAAATCACTCAATGGCATGGGGCCAGAATACATGTCAAATCTCTTTCCATTGAGGTGGTCACTCCATGCCCAGCAGGGTTCTAAGATCCTTAGGAAGCAGTCAGCTGGTAGAACCTCATGTCAGAACCAAGCAGGGTGAAGCTTTTAGCTACTATGCTGCACACAGATGGAATCAGCTTCCTCATGATCTCAGTGCCCCCAACTCTAGAAACTTTTAAATCAAAATTGAAAACCATCATGCTTTCATCAGCCTTTGAATACACATCCTTGTAGCGTCATGCTGACACATCCACACGGATGACCAATAAGATGTGATGATTCCATTTAAATATGAAATATCAACCTGATTGATCTTTGAATGTTTAACCAGAAGAGTTCAGGATTCTTTACTTGTTCAGGGACCAGAAACACACTTTGTATTAATTCAGGCAGAGTCAGGTATATAGTTAAAAGGAATTTTATTATTTTCTAAACTAATTATAATACATGACAAGCTATGAATAATGATATGTGATGGAGTGTATATGCGGTGATGGAATGTGAGTTGAAGGTGGTGTGGTGTAAAGTAGATGTGTATCAGAACCTTTGTATCTGAAAGAGATTGTGAATTCTGGGTGTAAAAGAATTTGTTGTCTGCTATAAACTAGAGAGTTGGTTATTAATAAAACAGCATCAGACGCAATCTGTTGTGTCTACGGACCCTGATTGGAGACCCCCGGTCAGATCCGGAATGTCAGGAAGTCTAGTGGACCTCAAGGCACCGAAGTTCGTAGAATTAACGCAGTGCGACCAGTCCGGTCTCGAGTTGTCTCCAGGTCACAACAGCAGGAAGGTTCGTTGCGTCTAACAAGGATGCTCTCTGAAGGTGCCGTGTGGATGTGTCAGCTGGCACTGTGCCAACAGGTTTGACAGTGCGTCAAAGAGAGGTGTCTCAAGGTGGCTGGTTCCGAATCGGCCAATTCGGAGTTCCGCTCAAAACTAAATAACCCGGGAAGTCACTTAAGTTTTAATAATCTAGAGCTTATGATTTCTGCGAATCAGAATTTGACATGTTTGTAGGTTTTTACCAAACATCCCTCAGAAAACCACACCTTCCAGATACAAGATTTTTAATGTGGATAAAGAAACTTTAAACTTTATGTGACCTTAACCTTAATCTGCATCTAATGAACATTGTGTATGAGTGTAGATAACGATTCACTTATTAAATCAAACAGTACTGATCATAACATATAAATGGATCATTATAATAATATTCATTTCAACTTCACACAGATTATTCAAACATTTCATATAACATGTGGTTCATTCAACCATATGATTATTTATGATTATTTAACTTGTGAGTTGTAAAAGTTCACTTTTCATTCAGAGTGTGGAATCCAGCAGTCTGAGATAAGTTTGACAATCTTGTCTTCATGAACCGTCAACAAGCACTGCAGAGTCTTCTGGGTGTTAGAAGATAGAACAGCAAATCCACCTAGATAGTGGAATTATGTCTATAGATGACCGGACAATATGTAGGTCGATATACAGGCCAAACTGACTCTTGTTGGATGTTAAATTCTTATGCTGCACTGTAGTTGCTCACCCTTTAACTTTGTTTCTTTTTCATTTTTAAATTGTATTTTCTGTCACATTGATTTTAATGTTCTTGATATCGTTCCTAATGGAAAACACAGTGACTTGCCTCTGTGTATGAAATGTGCCATATAAATAGAGCTGCCTTGCCTTAGGCTACTGCCCCTGCGACCCGACCCGGGATACGCGTCATATCTGTTTGGGATTATTTCTTCTTTACCCATTACATTCAGCTTTTTGTTTTCACAAAACATTTTCAGTCAGCATCATAAAATTATCTGTAGTCAGTGCAAGCAATAGTTTTGGAATGTGAAGATAATTTAAGGTTAAACAGATGCTGCCATGTATAATTTTCTGAGGCTAATGCACTTCAGAGCTCAACCGCACACTAGAAAATAAGTTCAATTTCAGCTTTCATTTATTTAGCAGTCAGAAAAAATAGCCCTTTCCGGCTCTGGTTCCTCAGGAGATCAATAATATCCCATCTGCTTGTAATCTTTTCTGAGCAGAGTTTTTACTCCATATACACACATAAATAAAAGAGCTTTTATCTTTACAAGGGACTTGCGATGTTCTGCCTACCTGTAATACTCAATGAATGCTGTCTTCTCTGCAAAGGCTGCCAAGTAGACTTTAGTTTGGCTGATGTTTGGTAATGCAGTCAACTCCTGGATGATGTTGTTAACCATCAGCCGTATGAAGCGCAGAGATTGGATGTAGTCGGCTCGAGCAGCAAAGATCTCATCCAGACGTTCGAGGTGCTGCTTAAGTTTATTTTCAATGTTGCTCACAGATCCAGCAACCTGAGGAAACAATGTAGAATAGAAAGAACAATTTCAACTGGAACATAGGATGATGTAAGGTGATGAAATGCCAAACGAAATTGAATCAAACTCAAACTGAAACAGAAACATTGTTTTATACAGAGAACGGTATTCTTAGGAAAATCTGATTTAAGTTAGAGAGAAAGAAATAAAACAAGACTTACCCTGGGAGAAAATAATAACTTGTTCTCAAATATATGATTTTTTATACAGTTTGTGATAAAGTGGAATACTGATCACAGTGGAGAAACCACTTATCACAGGCATCGATAACCCAGAGGACAAATGTGAAAGAAACAAACCGAGAATAGCTTTTTTTCAATTCTTTAATTCAAGTTGCAGATTCTTGCGTTGATTTGGTGTAGTTTAAATATCTGTAACCACTTTGTTTACTTCCTTCATTTTTAGCTCTTAATTTTCTTCCTTTCTAAAGATGAATTTTGTTTATTCTACAATTTTTTCCAATTACACAAGTTATGCATTTAAAGCAGTTTTAATGCTTTGGTGTTACTTTGTACCTGTAAAGCACTATATAAATAAAGGTAGAGTTGAGTTGAAACAGCATTTGAAACGGCTCTGACGGGGTGACTTTTTTGTAACTCATCGGGTAAATGTAATTAAAGCTTGAAATGATATAAGGAATTTTTTATTGACGAGTGTCAGATTCTTCTAAAAGCCATTTGTGTGTGATCAACATGTCACATCCTCTCCATCTTCATCATCCACTCATACCTCCACCCACAAATCCTCTGCCTAGAACTTAATTTCCCATCATCCCCCTCTCACCGGATTTCCTCCTGTGTCATCATCGTCATTGATAAAAGAAGGACGTACAAACCACAGACTCACTCAGCCATCGATTCAGGAATCAATGTCAGAGACCCGAGCTACCCAGCTCATCCTTCCAGCTTTCCAGTTGTTTATTCAAGCCTCCCAGCTCTTCAGGCATTTCGCCTCTTCTCAAGTAAGTCAATCTCTTACTTTTCGGAACAACGCACACAACATAGTAACGCGCCACTTTACATGCCCAGTAACGATAACGGTGTTGGAACAATGGGAAAAGTAATTATTTAGATTACTCTATTACTTAAAAAAATAACGCAGTCAGTAATGCTGTTATACTTAAACGTTGTTACTCCCAACACTGGGTGGGAGTGTGGGATTTTTTATGTGTGTGAAATCATTTATCCTCTCTGTCCCTCAGAAAAGGAGCCCCACAAGACTGTGTGCTGAGTTCCTTCCTGTACTGCTTGTACAGACAGGACTGTAAGCCCACCCACAACACTAATGCTATCAGTAAGTCTGCTGATGGTACAACCGTGGTGGGCCTAATCAGCCAGGGAAATGAGTCAGCACACAGGGAAGAAGTGCAGCAGCTGGCGGACTAGTTTACTGCTAACAACCTGACCCTGAACACCGACAAAATCAAAGAAATCATCATTGACCCATTGGGGAAAAGGTGGAGCACCAATCACTCACAATAAACAGGTGAAGAAGTGGTCACAGTTCAAGTTCCTGGGCACAAACATATCAGAGGACCCCACATGGACACACAACACCAAATGTCTGATAAAGAAGGCACAACAAAGGCTTTACTTCCTAAGGAATCTCAGGAAGATCAACCTGCCACAAAAACTGCTGGTGTGGTTTTATCACTGCTCCATAGAGAGTGTCCTGGCCAACAGCATCCTGGTGTGGTACAGCAGCAGCTCTGCAGCTGACAGGACGGCCCTGTAGAAAGTAATGAAAACAGCAGAGAAAATAACAAACACACACCTGCCTGTCCTGGATGACATCTTCGTCACTCGCTGCCTTCAAAAAACTACAAATATCCTAAAGGACTCAACCCACCCTGCAAACAATCTCATCAGACTTCTGGCAAATGATACAGGGCAATAAAAACACGCACCACTGCAAGAGCCATCACTGAACTGAATGCTGCTGCTAGGAGGTCACGCTAACACGGATTCAGCTAACCCTGATATCCAATGTGACTGTTTACATTTATATTATGTTTACTTTGTATTTCACTTTATAGGTTAGACATGTCTTATTACGATGTTTACATTATACTTTTATTGTATCTGTCTATTGGGGGCTCATGTGTCTGGGGCTGCAGGTTGGCATATCGGCCAGCTCGCTCCTGGTGGCATCCTGGTGGGGCCCGGATTCCTGGGCTCTGTTGGACCACTGCCAGGGTTATGGGGACCCTTATGTCTCAGGCCACTGAAGCCCAGGCTGGATCTGACCTGCTGTCAGGAGCTGTGAATGGGGCCTGAGGGTTTTGGTCAGGTCTGCGGCCCATCACTCTCTATTAGACACTAGGGGCTGCTTGACTTGATTTTTTTTAAGTCGACCGTCAAGTAACGAAAATCGAGTCGACTTCAACTAGTCGTTGATGACGTCATACACCTGAAGCAGCTAAAACTGACGATGGGTGACCACGCATGTTTTTCCGACGCACGGGGGTTGGGGTGGGGGTGGGGGGGGGTAGTTAGCTGGAGTTTTTGACAATTAAAATTGCGCCCACATTTTTTAAGTTAACACACATTTATTTTAACAACGGTAAGTTTTGCATCTTTACTGTTCCCCATTCATGAGGCCACCACAGCTCAGCAGAAAATCATTTGAGCCATTCCCATCAGTACCGGGTCATCCCGGGCCGGGTAGCCCCAGTCGGCCCCAGCCTGGCCCGGTTGATTCCACACATCCTTGTCTTAAGCCCATGTGGGCTGATTCTAGCCACCAATCAGAGGCTTGCTCTAATGGAAGGTGTGAATTTGCTGTCAGCAGTGGGTGTGTTGGCCCTGGTCGGCCTGAAGCAGACCCCCTCGGGAAGAGGGCTGAGAATGAGCCTTGGTTGGCCCGGGAAAATTCCAGGCCACCCAGATATGTAAACAACCTACGCTACCCGGCCCGGGCCGACCCGGTACAGGTGGGAATGGGGCTATTGTAGCTTCTTCTGGGGAGAAAAACACTTAAGAGAAAAAATAAAGTTGATAGCTGGAAGAGTAAGAAATAATACAGTAAAATAGCAAATTGTAGAAGAAAGCAGTAGAGTGTGGAAAGTGGTCAGTATGTCCTCCAGCAGTCTAAGCCTATAGCAGCATAACTACAGAGATAACTGGATAACCTAGCCATTTAGATGGAGGTATGTTGGAGGCAGGGCAAGGGAGAGCCATCTTTACCGACTGTACACTCCACCTCCCTCTACTCCGCTACTTGTCCAGATCTGGGCTATCATCAAATTTTAACCATAGGCCCTATCAAATAAAATTTTTTTAAGCCTAGTCTTAAAAGTAGAAAAGGTGTCTGCCTCACGAACTAAAGCTGGGAGTTGGTTCCACAAGAGAGGAGCCTGATAGCTAAAAGATCTGCCTCCCGTCCTATTTTTAGATATTCTGTAAACCTGCAGTCTGAGAGCGAAGAGCTCGGTTATGAACATATGGAACAATCAGGTCACTGATGTATGATGGAGCTTGATTGTTAAGAATTTTTCATGTGAGAAGGAGGACCTTAAAATCTATTCTGAATTTAACAGGCAGCCAATGTAGGGAAACTAAGACAGGAGAGATATGATCTCTTTTTCACAGGGGAATAAAGCATTCATATTCTTAGAGTTTTTTCTTGAGGTATTCTTCAAGCTGCTCCGTGTCTGCCACTAGATATCCGTGGCTCTGTTTGTGTTTTTGAGGGCGCAATGGAGGCGCTGTAGATGACAGCGGTGTCCTGACCAATCACAAGCTTTTGCTCTCCGTCTAGACAGACAGATGTTTAGAAAAGAACCCTCAACTCCGTCCATCCTTGCGGGCCTGTTGGAGAGCTCTCGAAAGGACCGATAATTAAATTAAATTAAATTAAATTCAAAAATACTTTATTAATCCCAGAGGGACCAGGATCCACTGATTTCCCTCTTTCCTATTCACTCTCTCTTTCTTTACATTTTTAATCACAACTGTCAATATTTTTGCTCATTTTAAACTTATTCTGAATCATTTTCGAAATAATTTTTTATATTTTTTACATTTTTTGTTTTTGTGAAGTGCCTCGTTACTTTTATCTTGAGAGGCGCCATAGAAAAGATCTTTTCTTCTTCTTCTTTCTTCTATCACTTGGGCTGGTGTACGCACTACTCCGTCACATCTCCACACAGTTGTCCACCTTAAGGGACTCACTACGCCTTTTAGGGAACCGTCTGAAATAACTCTGATGCCTAAAGTTCCAAATGGTACTCCACCACCTACCGGCAAGCCTCCTCCCATTACACCTCCATCTCTAGTCGTATCTCCAGCAGTGTTTAAGGGGGGATGATTTTTATCTCCTTTCCTTCTGTTCTCTGTTTCAAGTCACACAAGTTTTGTTGAGTGTGTATGTGTGTGTGTGTGTGTGTGTGTGTGTGTGTGTGTGCAGTGGCGGTTCTACATCAAATTACTCCCCGGGCGAGGCCCCCTTTGAGCCCCCCCCCCCCCCCCCAACCGCCCCCCCCCCCACCACCACCACCACCACCACCACCACACCACCCCACCTGCATGAACACACGCCTGTTTTCTACAAACAGGCATGTTTTATTAGAACGACTATTGAACATTCCTTTTTCTAAGTTGCACATATTTACATTAATTACTATGAAGTTGTCAGAATGTAAAGCACTATACATTATATACTGTATCAAAATATATAGAATCAAATATACAAAAACAAACAATAACTAAATATTAAGAATATATGAACATAATAGATAATAAATATTCTAAATAGCAAAAATATTTCACACATAACAAACTAAAGATAATCACTACAGCATTGCACTTAGAACAGAAAACACAAACTAAAATTAAAACCTAACCTTGATGCAACATCATCAATAATGTCATCACATGAAATCTGCTCCCCTACTGAGTGATTGATACTAATCAGAGCCAGGTTAGTGAGCCGCCCCTGAAACACAGGTGACCTCAGGTATGACTTGATCAAGTTTT